ATTCACAGTCCCGCTTTCTTGATGATTTCTTTCAGATTTTCATTTTGGATTAATTTAAATGATTCCTCTGTTATGTTTTCGGCTAAAATAAGTTTTTAATTTTTAAATTAAAGTACAATATGCAAGTAAAATTTTTCTTTATTTTTTGTTTATTTTTGTTTACTGAAGCTTTTAATATATTTATCTATAAAATATGAATTCCATAATAACTTATTTAATTTGTTTTCAAGTCAAGATTCTTATATGAGGAGAAAGTGTCTATAAAATAAATAACTTTTCTTTATACTTCGAATAGTAACATAAATTTAAGTATTATACATATTTTAATAATAATTTAAAGATCACGATTTCAGTTACAGTAATCAGTGATTTCGTAGTTCACAAATTTCATAATTTAGTTTTTATTCGTTTAAATTTTTATTTATGGCGACATGTACCTCAATGATTGTTAATTTAATTTATTGTAATTAAATAATGTTGGGTCAAACCAATGGTTTGTATTGTAGCACTTTTCCCATCAGCAAGTGAAAATTCTGCTTTTTAAATACAGTCTTTGTATATCCACCACACTATTTAAATTATTTTTAGTTTCGTTTATGAATGAAAATAATGAACGATTTATGCAGTTTTCGAAATAAAGCAAAAATTAATATAAAGAGGAGTTAACATAGTGCTCGATTTTAAGGGTTAATTGTGTGAGTTAAGGAAAATAATTATATTTTTTAATATCATGGAATTTACCGTTAGTTTTTTGCGATTATAGAAATTTGACGATTTCTTGACGACGAAAACTTGCGATTTCGGAAATATAACGTGTCAAAAATTCAAATTTACAAATTTCAAGAGGGGATAACTTGAGAGGGGGTGGAGATGTAAAAAAATTTTCTTCTAACAAAATGAACTCTTTGTCATGACATCACAAAATTTGGAAAAAACGGATTCTATATAACGGTAAATTTGAACGGCCATTTTGTTTTTCTAAAATTTAACTATAGTATACCGCGCAAAGGAAGCAAGCCACTGCCTTTCTACGTTTGCAAAATTTCCAAGATGCTTATGGTTTCACTGCACTAAACAATTAAAAAAAATAAATTTAGAACATATTTCCTAAATTTAGCACATTTTTCCCACAAATCGGTAATAATTTATTATATTTCATAAAGAATTAATCAGTATGCATACACCTTTTTTTTCCTTATAAATTACTTTATTTCTATGTCACAACCTGATACTGTGTATCTACTGTACCAGGTACATGCATGTGTACATTCATACATGAAATTTCAAACTCTTTTGCTTTCATACATTCGAATTTTTTACCTAACTTTAGTAAAATGAAAAATAAATTTTGTTATTATCAAAATAAAAATATCAAAATTTTGACCTAACTTAATTTAATTTTATTTCAGTTCAATGTTTTTGATACACTCGTTTGTTTACAATATTTTGTTTTTTTCTTGCCTACACAACTCTTCTTACCATCTATTTCTAAAAAACTGGAATATTTTAAGAATTTGGAAGCAAGATGCAAACGAAAACTAACGGACGAAAACTAATGGAACGAGGCGAATTACTTATTAATAGATATACTTTGGTAAAAACTAAAGAACACTTCTCTTCTTTTTAAGAAAGTTTCCCACAGTTTTTGCAGCGATCTCCTTGATTTTAGCAGAATTTCCTATATTTTTACAACGATCGCTTTGATTTAGGAAAATTCACTATATTTATTGGTAAGCACTCTTACTTGTAAAAGAAAGCATTTTTGCTGAATATGATTTAATTTTATTCAAATCATTCAAAGTAACTCAAAATTTTACTTTCATTTATTATGTAGCACCTAATAATTGCTAATTTTCAAATTGTAAAAACTGCGTTAACTTTTTAGCACTTTTCCAAAAAAATTTTGAAAAAAGTGCTTGTTAGTTTCACTCTGTTCGTCCATCCGTCCGTCCGTCAGTCAGTCAGTCTAAAATGCCATTTTTCAACTGTTTACTGTTGTTGAACCATATGCATTTTTCAAATTTTACAAACGCCGAAAAGCAGTGGGTTGGTTCTTATATCACGGCAAACTATATTTGAACTTTAAAAAAAAAAATGTGGTCAGCACATAACCGACCGCAATGTGTATTGTCTAGTTAAGTGAAAATGTTACACAATATTATAAAAATGTCTGTTAAATACTTCTTTCCAATTTTTAGGACCTTAGTAAGCTTATAGTTAACATATCTAGAAAAATGTAAATTTGGCTCTTAGTAGAATTTCGCTTTGTGCTACCCGAACTCACTGAAATGCTCGCCATTAGTTAGTTTCGGTAATAACCAGAACTCAAATGTCAAATTTCAAGAAATTCCATCAATTCGTTCCTTAGATATGGTGAAAAATGTAAAATGATCTTTCTAAAAAATTCGTATGTTCATTGTTTCAATACGAAGAATTTAAATATTAAATTTCAATGAAATCGGTCAATTATATCCCTTTATATACGCAAAAATGTATATTTGGCCCGTACTAAACGCCCAGTTGCTGATGCCTGATTGCTTCCAAAAGTTGGAAATTTTCGTTTACGGTCGAGCAAAGCTTATATATGAAATTTCAAGTAAATCGATTGAATACTTTATTCAAAATGTTCAAAAATGTAAAACAGGCCCGCTAAAAAGTGCAGTTCCCGAGGCCTGATATATCCTAAAAGTTGATCAATCCGTGCCATGGTGGAAATAAACTTACATATAAAATTTCATCAAAATCGGTTCAGCAGAACTTGAGACACACGCACGCACACACAGACCGACAGACCGACAGACCGACAGACCGACGGACCCTCAGGTTGCTAAAAATAGTTTACTTACACTTCCCTACTATGGAGAAGTGCATTCCCACCGAAAATTCGATATGCAAAATTTGTTGCCATCACATAACCTACCTATTGTTTACACAATACGGTCGGTAAAAATGGCCATTGTTTTGACCCAACTTTATTTCGATAAACCTTTTATTTTATTTATAAAAGTAATCTTTTAGGGATATAAAATTTACCTAAACAAGAAATATTGTGAAAAAATTCACACAAAAATAAATTGCGTTAAATTTGCCACAAATCGGTTTTCATGTTTTTTATGCAGAAATTTTGACGCATCATTCAATTTAATATTCTTTTAAACCGTTTTTAATAAATTTCCAATTGGTTTACAGTTTTATTGCATTAAAGTAAAATTTTCATTTAAAATTTGATAAACTTAAATTTTTTTTCATAGAAACAAACTTTTTTGCGATCTGGAAAATACTTCTAATTATATGAATATTTATTGTATACTAAATAAGTATTTCGCTTTTTAAACATTTGGCAAGTTTTAAGCCTTGTAGCAAATCTTTGCCAACATTCTTTTACTTATAAGTGAATATTTCGCATGCTTCCCAGTTTCGTTTTGCTTGAATTTAACTCTGACAAAGTTTCTGCTGAGACTTGACTATATGTGGCATTGACATTATATTAGAATCTATCTTTTAATAAAGTTTCTCATACTTTTTGGAACGCTGTCTTTATTTTGAGGAAATTTCCAAAATTTTTAAAATGATCACTTAGATTTAACAAAATTTCCTATATTTATTGGTAAACATTTTTACTTGTAAACGAAAAAAATTTTACCTCATTTTTTTTTAAGAATACTTCCTAAAGATATAGGAACCAACAAGTCATTGAATTACAGTATTTGTAAACAAGAAGGCAAACTGTCTTAAAAAAAACTTTTCGCAATAATTTGTTCAAGAATGTTTAGCTTCAAGGTTGCCAGTGATAAAAAAACAAATTACCAAGCTCAATTTTTTTTCATCAGTGAAAGAAACAAAAAATAATGAAATTATTATTATGAAAACAGTGTTATTTTCCATTTCTAAAAATCTGATTTCTGTATGACGTATTTTATGTTATAATATTGATATACAGATATACTTATATGATTAGAATAAAAAGAAATTTGTACATAGAAATTTTTTTTTTTATAAATTTTGTATTTATAAAATTTCTTATACATATTTGCATTTCTCATATTTCTTATATTTATATTCTTATATTTCTTATATTTCTTATTTTTATGGATATAAAAAAATTATATGTTCACGAATGAATAAAAGAGGTGGTGGTGCAGGAATATTTGTGCACCATAAACTAAACTTTAAAAGTGAAAAAACGTTTTGCGACAATTTCACCAGCTTAATAAATATAAATTTGTACTCAAGCCATAACATAAAATATAATACATATATCTATTGTATATCGTCCACCTGTTAAAGATAATCATCACATAAATGATTTTTTTAAACTATTTGACACGCACTTAGATTCACTAAGTAATAAAACAGCTGTTATTATCGGCGATTTTAATTTTAACTTATTAGATAGGAATAATGAAAATGTAAAAAATTATAAAAGTATAATAAAATCAAACGCATTCCTTATATGTATGTAACAAAATAATAACACGACCGATATCCAACACGTGCTTAGACCATAATACTAACTATAATTCTATCAATGACGAAATTAACATTACTCAATTAAATTATGATATCTCTGACCACAAATTAATATTTATCGAAAATAAGTGCTACAAGACTAAGAGTTGTAACAAAAACATTGAAACAAAAAAAGTAGTTGAGAGAATTAATTATGACTTATTAAGAGAGCATTTACTTAACGAAGAAATTTACCGTTTAAACTACAAACTTACCACAGATGATAAATGCAACATGTTGACAAAAAAAATTAATGAGGCTGTAGTGAAATCAATCACTACTGAGGTTATAGATTTAATTAAAAAGAAAAACTAGTGGCATAATAAATTGACTTTAAACTACGAGGACAAATACATAAAAACCAAATATAAATACTGGTTAAACAGATTAACTAATTTGAAAAGAAGGAAGAAAACAAAATTCTATGAAAGTAAATTTGAGTCCTGTAAAAATGATGCAAAAAAAACTGGAAAAATATTAAAAATATAATAATGCCGAATAAGAAAGATGTAGACAACATGTTTTTTAGTGATTGTATCACTGAAAAAAAAAAAATTGAAAAATTAAATGCATTTAATGAATATTACAGCACTATAGGTGAAGTTCTATCTGCAAAAATAAAGCACAACGTATTTTTTTTAAAGATAGAAACAAATGCTAGATTCAAATTTGAAAAAGTAACATTAAGTGACACATATCAATGCATAAAAAGTTTAAAAAATACGAATTCTGCTGGTGCAGATAATATAAACTCAAAAATTTTAAAAGAATCTATAAATGAATTGGTACACTACATTAGAGACTTGATTAACACGTCTTTTGAACTTGTAACATTTCCCAAAGCAAGTAAGAATTGTAAAATTGTGCCGATATATAAAAAGGGTGATGTAAGTGATATTGACAACTTCAGACCCATATCTGTATCATCAGTTATAATCAGTAAAAGACAATACGCATTTAGGGAAAATTCTAATATAAATACCACTTTGTTTGATGTAATTTCTTATATAGAGCAACAAATATGTGAAAAAAAGAAAATTGGTGTTATGTTTTTCGATGTAAATAAAGTTGGGTCAAACCAATGGTTTGTATTGTAGCACTTTTCCCTTCAACAAGTGAAAATACTCCTTTTAAAAACAGTCTATGTATATCCACCACACTATAAAAATTATTTTCATTTATAAACGAAACTATTTCTAGGATTGCATATATTTAGGATGAACCATTTATGCAGTCCTTGAAATAAAGCAAAAATTAATATAAACAGGGGTTAGCATAATGCTCTATTTTAAGGGTTAATTGTGTGAGTTAAGAAATATAATTATATTTTTTAATGTCATGGAATTTACCGTTAACTTTCTGCGTTTATAGAAATTTGAAAAAGCTTGCGGTTTCAGAAATATAAGGTGTCAAAAATGCAAATTTTACAAATTTCAAGAGGCGACAACTTGAAAGGGGGTGGAGATGGAAAAAACTTTTCTTCTAAGGAAATGAACTACTTGTTAATGTCTAAAAGTCCCTATAATTTCAAGCTTCTACAGGCTGGGGTCTAGAAGAAAAACGACATCAAAAATTTGAAAAAAAAGGACTGTAGATAACGGTAAATTTAAACGGCCATTTTGTTTTTCTAAAGTTTAACTATAGTATACCGCGGTAGGGGAAGCAAGCCACTGACTTTCTACGTTTGCAAAATTTCAAAAATGCTTATGGTTTCATTGCAACAAATAGTTAAAATAGGCCATTTTTAGTGCTTTGGGGGGGAATAACTTCTAGAGGGGGGGAGATAGGTAAAAATTTTGTTCTACAAAAATAACTTCCTAGTAAAGATCTATGCACGTATTAAATTTCAGCTTTCTATCTTTAAGAATGTAGAAGTTTTGTAAACAGACACACGGACAGACGGACGGACGGACGGACGGACGGACAGACGGACAGAGTGAAACTAATAAGCACTTTTTTTCAAAAAATTTTTGGAAAAGTGCTAAAAAGGCGTTTGATACGGTTGACAGAAATATACTATTAAAAGTTTTGCAAAGTTATGGTATATTAGGATCAGCTTACAACTGGCTTAAAAGCTACTTTCAAGGAAGGACCCAATTCACTGAACAAAAAAAAAATCAGTTCTAGAGGGAATTATGTGAATTGTGGTATAGTACAGGGTAGTTCACTAGGGCCAACTTTGTTTCTTTGTTATATAAATGAAATTGCAAACTTAAAACTGTACGGGAAAATATTTTTGTATGCAGACGACCTACTAATATTTAGCGAATAGCTTTAAAAATATGGAATATGAAATAAATTATGATAATAAAATAATATACAAGATATTCTGTAAGTACAAATTTACAATAAGTATAGACAAAACCAAATACATGCTACTAAAAAATAATAAAGTTGGGTCAAACCAATGGTTTGTATTGTAGTACTTTTCCCTTCAACAAGTGAAAATTCTGCTTTTTAATACAGTCTATGTATACCTATCACACTATTAAAATTATTTTCATTCATATATAAAACTATTCCTAGGATTCCATATATTTAGGATGAACGATTTATGCAGTCTTAAATGAATGAAATGAAATAAAGCAAAAATTAATATAAAGTGGGGTAAACATAATATGCTCGATTTTAAGGTTTAATTATGTGAGTTAAGAAAAATAATTATTTTTCTTAATGTCATGGAATTTACCGTTAACTTTTTGCGTTTATAAAAATTTGAAAAAGCTTGCGGTTTCAGAAATATAGGGTGTCAAAAATTGAAATTTTACAAATTTCAAAGGGTGATAACGTGAGAGGGGGTGGAGATGGAAAAAAATTTTCTTCTGACGAAATAAACTATTTGTTAATGTCTAAAAGCCCCTAAAATTTCAAACTTCTACAAGCTGGAGTCTAGAACAAAAACGACATCAAAAATTTGGAAAAAAAGGACTTTAGATAACGGTAAATTTTAACGACCATTTTGTTTTTCTAAAGTTTAATTATAGTATACCGCGCTAGTGGAAGCAAGCCGCTGCCTTTCTGCGTTTACAAAATTTCAAAAATGCTTATGGTTTCATTGCAACAAATAGTTAAAAACGGCCATTTTTAGGGTTTTGGGGCGGTATAACTTCTAGAGGGGGGAGATAGGTAAAAATTTTGTTCTAAGGAAGTAAGTTTCTAGTAAAGATCTATGTACATATAAAATTTCAGCTTTCTATCTTCAAGAGTGTAAAAGTTTTGTAAGCAAAAAAAGTGTCCACGGATGGACGGACGGACGGACGGACAGACAGAGTGAAACTAATAAGCACTTTTTTTCAAAAAATTTTTGTGCTAAAATAAAGAAAATATTAATTTAATATTCAATGATAATAAAATTGAAACAGTAACGACATATAAGTATCTCGGTATAACCTTAGATAGCAAACTCACCTGGAATCATCATACTGATGAATTAATGAAAACTTGTAGGAGAGTAGCAGGCATTTTTCGGAAAATATCTGGCCTTATCCCCGAAAAACAAAGAAGAGCACTATATTATAGTTTATTTCATAGTTATATAGCATATGCCATATTAATATGGGGAAATACGAGTAATAAAAATTTGAACAAAATCCAAAAATTGCAAAGTAAAGCTATAAAAAACCTATATGGACTTGAAATAAGAACACCAACTAATAATATATACGCAAATTATAACATTTTAAATATAAGACAACAGCTAAAAGCAAACCAGATTCAACACATACATAAAATAAAACACGGAAGTATATTATCAAATATTAGCTTCACACAAGGAATAATAATGCATCAACACAACACAAGAACAGCAAACGACATAAGAACTGGCAGAATTGGGTCAAGTAACGTTTTCAACATTGCTGTTCGGGGATTTAACAATATTCCTGAATGGCTCCGATATGCATACACAAATACGTTAAAAAGGAATATAAACAAATTAGTTTGAACCAAAACCGACTTCAAGAACATTTTCTGCCAACTTCAAGAACATTTTCTGATAATTGAGTCTATCTAATATTTATAATATTTATTGTATGCTAAATGATAATTAAAAAATAATTTAAAGATGCGCTAGAAAACATTTTACCTATTTTTTTTTAATTTCTTTTTATATTTAAATGTTTGAACATATTACTAACAACAAAAAACATATTATTACAATTTTGAGATTATCTGCTAAATAAATAAGAGTCACTATTATGTTTTATTAGAGTTTTTATTAGTACGAGTAGTAGGAGAAGTTTTCTACAAAAAATATAACTTTTCTAAATATTTTGAAGATGAATCAAAATGACGATTTTAATAACATGTAATGAAAAATTTTTTGTAAATATTCCTATATAAAAAATAATTTTAGCTACAATGAACTTACCGTTTACCTTATTAATAGGAGATATTATCATTTTATTTGATAAAAATTCCTACAACTATTAGGAATTTGTGATACTTATTTTTATTCTGGTCGTTAATAAAATAACCAATTATGTAGACTAATTTGGAGATATTACTATAAAAACATATAAACGTTCTTGTTCAAATATGAACTTCTAATATATTTATAAGAAAATTATTGTAAATAATCTTATAAATATAAGGATTTTCATTTGTTAAAATATATTATTTGAAGCAAACTTACTACTATATAGTGAGATAGATTATTATTTTACCAAGTAAGAAAAATTACCAAGTGAGTAAATTGATATTGCTATTGTCAAGGTTCAGAAAGAAATAGGCAATTGTCTCAAAAATATAGTAATTTGGCTCAAAATATTGGAAAATTTCCAAAAAAAGGGCTCTTATAAAAATGGGAAAATTTATTATCGACTTTTTTCTCAGTGACTTTTTCTTAAATCAATTCAATTAGTTCACAGTTTGACTTGAAAATTATAATACTCGTACTAATTATAATTTTCAAGTCAAACTGTGACTGTCGGAAAATGCACACAAGAATTTACTTCATACATTTGAAAATTCATTTAAAATTTAATTTTTTCGGTAAAATTTAATTATTTACACTGGAATATTAAGAAAATTCGAGCTTCATATAGAAAGAATTTTTTTTTTCACGAGTAGATTATTGAAAACTAATAAATTTATTGATAATTTAAATATTTTTTCACATTGATTAGCGGAAAGTTTCACTAGCGGAAAATTGCTATTATTCTTATTTTTCGCGGTAATACTCGTATACATGATACAATATTTGTATGTATGTATGTAAATAACCAAAAATGAATTGCGGAAAGTGTGAAGGAGCATTGATGACTGGTTCTAAAGTTAAATGCAGTGGGATTTGTGGAAGATCTTTTCATCCAACTCGCTATAATTTGGCGGCTTATGATGTCAGATTAGTGATCGAAAAACCTCATATTACTTTTCAATCTGATGAATGGTTGCATTTTAAAAATTACTTCTACCAAAAGATGGATAATCTGGAAAATATAATGAATGATATTAAAGAAGGTAACAAGAAACTGATTAAGACTGATGAAAATGTTAAAAAGATAGTTGGTAATTTAAACGTAAGTGCAAGTAATGTTGGTGATAAAAAGTTTTCTTACGCTGATATTGTAAAGAAAGATCCAGTTGTGTTAGTCAAACCAAAAAAAAATCAAACATCTGATAAAACGAAAACACAATTGAAACGTCATATCGACCCTATAAACCTAAATATTAATGGAATGTCAGAAAAGAGAAATGGCACTATCGCAGTACTTTGTAACGATGTCAGTGAAATGTTTAAAAAACCAAGTAGAAAGCAAATTAAAAGAATATGATGTAGTTATTCCAAAAGAAAGAAAACCAAAAATACTTGTAGTTGGAATATCTGAAGACTATAATGAAAATGAGCTAAAAACAAAAATAATTTCTCAAAATAATTTTGTAGAGAAAAATGGAATTAGAGTTGTAAGATCGTACAAAACGAAAAATGGTAGATTCAATGTTATTGTTGAAGTTAATATAGCTGATTTCAAAAAGTTAATGCTAATAGGGAAAATAAAAGTTGGTTGGAATATATGTGAAATTTACGAAAGTTACGATGTTAAGCGATGTTTAAAATGTTTGGCGTACAACCATACGATTAAAACAAGTTCAGCAAAAAATATTGCGTGCATTAAGTGTGGAGGTGACCATAAAGCTGAGAGCTGTACCACAAATATGATCAAATGTATAAATTGTATTAGAGCTAATAGCACAAATCATGCCCTTTTCTAATTAGGAAAATCAAAATTGAGAAACAGAAAAATTTTCAGCTTATAACCAAAAAAACAAGCGATCGTTAAACTGTATATATCTAAATATAGATGGCGTTTCAGGAAACTTGTCATCATTAGAATACATGAATAGCAACAATTCTTTTGATTTACTATTATTAAGTGAAACACATTTAACAGAGGAAATTGGAGATGCTGAAATTTCTTTGGATGGTTATAATTTATTCCGTTGCGCTTCTCACTCAAGACACACAGGCGGTGTAATGATTTACGTCAAAAATTCTATTAAAATTTATAATGAAAAAAAATATGTGTTCAATAATAAGCTTTGGATTTAACAAATTAAAATTAAGTTGAATGGAGAATTTTGGTTTTTTACAATTTTGTACAAATCACCCTCTCAATTTAGCATTGCTGAGTTTTCTGAAGAATTGAAAAATTGGTTTGAGGATCGTTGTATAACATCGAATAAAAATATAATTTGTGCCTATTTAAAATCAATGTGGAAATCGATAAAACTGTATGTTACGAAAAGCAATACAAATGAAACAATTGATGAGCTACATGTAAATAATGAAGTCATAAGTGGAACTCCTTTCATAGCCAGTGAATTGAACCAATTTGTTGTAAATAGTATTATTGAAATTAGGAATAATATCACTTTTGTAGAATATCAAAACTTAATTCGAGAAAGAAGAAGCAGATTTTGATTTAAAGAGGTAATCAAAGAAGAATTGTTTGAGATTGTAAAAAAGATGAATGAAAAAACGGATTTTTTGGGTTTTAATAAGAAAATCATTTTAGAATTATGTAGTACATTTGGAGATGGTATTGTACATATTATTAATTACAAGGTTTTTTTCCTTTAATCTGCAGAAAAACAATTATCCGTCCAATTCCGAAAAAGCAAGGGCCAAAAACACCAGAAGATTGTAGACCAATTAATATGATTCCATTGAATGAAAAAATTCTTGAGAAAGTTGTCTATCTTCAATTAGAAAATTATCTTAGCGAAAACGACATTTTGTGTGATGAGCAAAATGGTTTTCGTGGTTTACATTCATGCGAATTGGCATTAAACATGGTGGTATACGACATGGTGGTATAGTCATTTTAGCTGTTTTTTTTAGATTTTAAGAGAGCATTTGAGACGGTAAAAAGAGAAATATTGCTTAGAAAATTGGAAATGTATGGTATCTGTGATAATGAACTGAACTGGTTCAAAAGTTTTCTCGAAAACAGAAAGCAAAAAACTTCAATTAACTATAACTATTCAGATAGTATTTTTATCAATGATGGAGTTCCACAAGGTGCAATATTAGGTGTATTATGTTTTTTGTTGTATATAAATGATATTAAATTGAGTGTCCAGTCTTGTAAAATAGTCCTGTTTGCCGATGATGTCCTTATTTATATTGTTGAACGAAGTGTTGAAGAATGTTGTAGTAAAATGAATGGTGATTTAAATAACTTATTTGCCTGACTATGTATGAACAAATTGTATTTAAATTTTAATAAAACGAAATGTATGGTAATGAATGATAGAACACAAACTTTATTTAACGTTAAGATTGGTAATACATCTGTTGAAAGAGTCAGTTCAATCAATACTTAGGTGTTATAATAGATGATAAACTCGCATTTGACAAGCATGCAGATTACATTACCAACAAAATAGCGCAAAAAATCGGATACTTAGCTAGAATAAGGAGTCAACTAACTCTAAAGTGCGCTGTAACAATTTATAATAACAATTTTGCCTTATTTGGATTTTTGTGCATCTATTTTATTTTTAAGCAACAAAGGAAAAAAGATAAGCTGCAAGTTCTTCAGAATAAAGCAATGCTGAATAATTTTAAAACCAGTCTTGTAAAATTTTTATTACGTAACGAAATCTAATTTTTAGTCTTTCTTTTTTTGAACTTATACAGCAATCCCTCCTATAACGTAATTTTTGGGACCGAAAAATTTTTACGTTAAGCGAAATTACACTATAGGAGGTCCAACTAAACTAATATGACTAATATGTATGTACATACATATGTATGTACTTGATATTTGCCTAAACTAGTAAGTTGGTAAAGAAAGAAATTTAAATGAAAAAAAATAGATTATTGCATATTAAATTATTTCAAAATTACGTAAAACGAGGTAAAAATTACATTAAGTGAAAGTAGGTAGGAAAAATAAAATTTACATATATCGAAATTATATAGTAAGAGGTTACGTTATAGGAGGGATTGCTGTATTGAATTTTGTATTGAATTTTTTGAATTTATTATTGAATTTATTTTGAATTTTCCATTTTATCTTTTATATTCCAAATCTATTGATATTTAATTAACTAAGAATGAACTTTTTAAATTTGTTATAATAATGAATCAAAAATGAATTATATGAATTTTGTACCTAGATTTAAATATAGTATTCATACTAATAAAGTAAATAAAAAAAAAAAAAAATTCTAATGTATGTTAAAAGTCTGGAAAAAACCGCCTTACTATTAATAGAAAACTAATGCTGAATAAAGTGATCCTAAAATTATTAAAAAAATCTGACCATTGGTGCAGTGGTTATGGCACCGGTCCTTTAACCGAAGGGTCTCGGGTTCAAACCCCGGTCAGGTCACTATAAAAATTATATTCAATATTATTATAACTTAATATACAATACTAATAAAAATATTATACAAGTAATTTTCAAATATTCCTAATATTCGATATTAAAAAAAAAAAACTAAGAAAAATAAATAGTAAATATTAATAACCTCAAATAATTAATATATAAATAAAAACTACGGCATTCTAGTCACCTACTTAGTTAAACCCTATGACGCTATGAAACTAGTGCATGAGAAATCATGCACCAGCCCTATGCTCCTTCTAAAGCCCTATGCTCTTCCTAAATTCATTGTTTTAACACCTCGAATTTAAATATTAAATTTCAATGAAATCGGTTGATTATTTCTCTTTATATATTTGGCCCGTTGTAAATGTACAACTGCTGACGTCTGATTTTTTTCAAAAGTTAGAAGTTTTCGCGAACGGTCGAATGAAGCTTAGTCGAAATAAACTTACATATAAAATTTCATCAAAAGC